CATGAAAATAATTTCATCATCAGCATATTTGCGTTTCCATGTCTACAAACGGTGCTTTTCTGTTCAATTTGCTCAGACGTTGGTCTGCAGCCCTCATTAAACCAGCCAAGCTTCTCCCGTCCTTTGATGTGAAAACGCCTGCGGTGAAACAGCTTTACGATTTCCCAGGCAGCGTCTCTGCTGAGTTACCAGTTCACAAATCAGCCACAGATGAGTGATAAACAGTAATAGAATACAGAGAGACAGAAACATAAACTACACATAAAGAAAGACCCAACGCCAGGTTTTCTAAATATAAAACTGAACAGATAAGAACTGAAGATAAACCTTTCCCAACTAATGGTCCTAAATGGAGCCATTTTATAAAACCTATTAAAGTGGAACTCTTCTAAAACTGCTCAATAAACACTATTTTCATCTCCAGGAAGACCTCACACCTGTTGCTTTCTTGTCCCCATTTTAGGAAACAATTCAATAAGCCACCAAATGTTAAACCAGCTCAAAATACAAAGCATTTTCTCTCTAAATCAAATCGCAGTTGTTCCTCCCTCGGCAGCGGGTCTTATCTAAGTATGTTCTGCTCTTCATTACAAAGTTGTTTTAAATCAGCCACAGAGGTCAGGCAACAGCACCTCAGTCAGATGTCTGTCCAGACTTTGACTAGGCTACTTAAACCAACTTACTAGTGTCGTTTGGACCATTGTCCTGCAGCAAAACGTAATTTCCTTGAGCTTAGGGTCATGAAACTGACAGCAGGACATCTCCTCCAGGATAGCTCTGGTACAGCAGACCATCACACCAACTGCATCTTTAATAGTGCTTAATGCATGCTTAGTGTGAGGAATTGCATTTGAGTCAATGAGTCGATGCGATCAACTGGTTATCCTTTGATAGAAAACTCTGAATCAATCTGACTGTATTATCTGGTTGAACTGTAAATTGCCTTGAGATGATTTGTGTTATGAATTGGCGCTATATAAATAAATTTAATTGAAAATGAATGAATATTTACAACAGATATAGCAAAAGATTTTTCCAAAAGCCTTGGGATCATCTATAGTTTTTTTGCGGCTTTTTGTTCCCTTGATTTCTACATTTGAACTGTACCATTGATGCCATTTTTTTATTATTATTTATACGTTTTCAACATATTTCAGTGATGGGTACATTTAATATGAACAGATATGTACACTTTTTGATGGTCTCTGCTATTAATTTGCGTTCCCATCTTGAAATAAATACAAAAATAAAAGGAAACAATATATGAACACAATTTATGCATAAATTTATACATATATACATTAGTTTATACACTTTTTCAAAGCAAAGCCGGGCCTTTTTCAACTTGCATATTCGATCCACTTCTCCCAGCATGCCATAAACAAACCCTTGTTATTGTTTGTAATTGCCATCATCTCTTCCATTTTGTAAATATCCACTGTAATTTCCCTCTGAAAGCCGTTTCTCAGTTATACACTTTTTAATGGCCAAAAACAAAATACTAAAATTATTTTTTATCATTTTCAACCAAGCCTGAGGTGTTTCCAAAAAGGAGGGTCTTCATATCTTGCAGTTTTCTATGAATATTTCTCCAATATTGTTTCCATTGATGATTTTTGTCCAGTTTGTTTCTTGTGCTGACTCATAAAAACTGATAGTAACAGACGAAATTAGGCCAGCAGTGCTTTAGATAATGTTCTGGGATCATTTGTGACCTCCTTGATGAGTTGTTGATGTACTCTTGGAGTCATTCCTAATGGACGACCTCCATTGGAAAAGTTTTACCCATTTATCATTAAACAACCCCATTATAGTTGAATGGAGACCTAATATCTAACCCTGGACTTGGACAGCATCTGTCTCCCCTGCACCCCCCCCCCCCCCCCCTTTACAAATGCTGCACTTTGCTGTGAAGCACAGAGCTGCTCCAATAAGTGTGAAAGTCAGACTATTATATCACATTCTGTGTTGACTTAAAAAGTTAAATAGCTTCTCTTTCCATCTAGTCATGTTCAGTAGTTTTAGTCTACAATAGGTGAGTACACTGAGTGCAGAGAAGCCATGTTTGTTGCTTATGTTGATGTATTTATAGTTTAATAATTATTTGTTTGGTAATCTAGCTTAAACAATACTAATATATAGTTCTTTTATTGAATAAAGTCCATCTTTAGTAATTTGTTTAACAAAAAGGAATGGTGTGATATCCTGTTAGTGTGAAAATTGTCTCTGTCTGGCATCTAGAAAAAGAAAATGAAGTTGGATTTTACAGGATGGCTGTCTGTATGCAGTGTAAATGCTTTCCATGATTATAATGGGTGCATATTTACTGCTGATCAGAGCTGAGCCAAGGTCTTTTTATGTTTTTGTTTTTTTTTTAGAGTGGAGCTTAATGTTTAGCTGTTTGATATCTTTAGCCAACTTGTTTGAGTTGCACGCTTTTAAATACACCTTTTAAACACAAGCATCACGAGGGGTGCTGGTGCCTATCGCCAGTCCATCGCAGGGCAACACAGAGAAAAACATGACAAACGATCTAAGAGGACAGTAGAGTAGCCAACTAACCTAACAGTCATGTTTTTGGACTGTGGGAGGAAGCCAGAGTACCCGGAGAGAACACACGCATGCTCAGGGAGTTCATGCAGAAAGACCGGGGAATCGAACCCAGAACCTTCTTGCTGCAAGGCAGCAGTGCTACCCACTGTTACACTGAGCAGCCCCTTGAGTCAAACAGGTTCTCATTGAATAATTTCTACAAGTCAGTCTGTGATCAGACTTTTTTATAGTTACAGAAATCATTCAAGAAGTTAGATAACTGATGATTTAACAAGGTAGCAAAGACATTTTCTAATAGTGCCAGAGGGGTTTAGAAGCTATAAGAAACAAGCTCTTTGTAACGAATCTGATTATCTTTGTCTGATGAGAAAACATTTAGATCTGACAAAATCCCCCAAAAACAAGAAATATTTTATTTAAATTTAGAAGAAAAACACAATTTTGTTTGCATAATTGATAAAAACAAAAAACAAAACATGAAATAATGTTTGTCTGTACATAAAAAGATGTCTACTAAAATTGCAGATGTCCATTGTTTTCAGATCATTTGGTAAAACAGATTGAGTTAAAAGGTTTGTAGTTAGAAAATGAAGGTTTATCAGTGACAACCTTGACATGAAATAACCGGATGTTATTCCTGATTGTCCTATGGGAAGACGACAGCTGTCAAAGCCTGGAAGATGCTCACCTTGTTGTCCAGCGAGGCGATTTCCTGCTGGTTGGCTGTGGAGAGAAGGAAGCTGCTCATCTGGCTCTTCAGGGGGTCTTCCACCTCCACATCAATGTCATAGCAGGCCGTCTTCTTCTGGTCGTTGGGGTCCACGCTGGGAGGAAGGTCGGAGTTGATACCAGGGAAACCAAGGAAAACAGAAATCGGAGCAAAACGAGGAGGGGTTTCAATAAGCGCAACTAAGACAATCAACATCTGTTTTCTTTAAAGAAAATTTCCCCGTTGTTGATCTAAAGCTGAGAGTTCCTTTGTTTCGATCTGAGTGTCTGTACCTGATCACATGGTTGATGACGATCGGGTCGGGTGGGAGGAGGAGGTTAGTGAGGCGCTGAGGAATCTCAGAGAACTTCAGACGAGGACAGTCAAAGATCTGTAGGGGGGGAAGATGAAGATCGTCAGATCTTTCAACATGATGACACAATTATCTAGAAGACCCAGCAATGAGTTGGTTACAGATTTAAGATGCTTCTAACAAGACAAGGAAATGATCTCCTACAGATCCTCCACTGTGCCGAACACAGGGCACTCATTGCTTTCCATATTCATCCTGTACCACACCAGTTAAAGCCAGAGTAAAGCACAATAAAAAATGTATGTTTATGAAGGTAGGACAGAAAAAGATGCTGTTTAATAGTTGCTAAGTTTTCCCCTTTTTGCTGCAGCTTTATAACAGTTAGCTTTGGTGATTTTTCTCCGCCTCCTCGCTATGAGTGGTGGCAGAACAACCTTTTGTCCTTTCTTATCACACATCCAGCTCCAATATTTTCACTTTCAATTATTATTTATAACTGCAGATTCCACACAAAACGTATCTCATCAAGCATGAACACTTTTTAAATACAAGGTTTTTATTCAATATTCTGCTGAAAACCAGTTCCAAAGAAAACAAATTGAAGTTTAAAAAAGTACCAAAAAATTATCTGTAGTTTTAGAAAAGCTGTTTTCCCTATTATGTTTTTTGTGATTTACTTTATATTGTTTTTCAATTGCAACAAGTTTTCAATGTGTGACAAAAATCAAGAGTAAATAGTTCAGTTTAGCATTCCTCTCTTTTAATGAAGTGCAGGATATGGCCCCATCTTGTGCTGTATTTTATTAGCCAAACCTTCGTGTCCGGATGGCTAATTATTTCTTAAGAAGCTCTTCATCACTTAGTATCTAGGCAGCATTCATACATCACAAAAACTAATGCTCCCTCACTCCACTACAGATGCTGATTTTTGGAAATCAAGCCAGATCTCTTTCCTCCACAGGTTCCTTTGAAGCCCACGACCACAGGTCTGTTTCCAACTTTCCTCCATCTTTAATCTGCCTTTTATCTTTAAAAAGCTGCACATTTGCTTGGTCGCTCTGAGCAATTCATTTTATGAATGAATAAAAACAAAAGAAAAATGTACCGAATCTCCATATCCTGAAAAAAAAAACAGGATTTGGAGATTTTAATGATAGAAAGGATCAAATCTAATCCAGGATTTCCAATCTGTTTCTTCTAATTGTGTAGAAAATAAAGCAATATGGAAAAATCTAAAAATTACAAAACTTTATTCAGCTTTAACCTCATTGATTGGATGGAAGATCACCCTGATACGTTGGGGTTCGAGGCTGTAAATATAAAATCAAATAAAATAGGAAAGGGAAGGTTTCCATTGTTTAGGGAGAATCAGAGGAAATGAAAGTTAACTAACAAAACCCATCAAATATAGCATGGATTTGAGATGAGTGGGCTTAGCTTTAAAACTACACCCATGTAAACCATGAAGAGCAGAAAAGAAATGGTTAATTATTACCTCTTAATGCACTCATTTAAGTTAGATTTTTGCATTATTTGCAATTACATGTTTTTAAAATTACTTTAAACTTAAATTGATTTCAGTTTTGAGATCCTAAACTAAAAAAGACCAAATAAGGCCATAAGCATATATTAGTTACCTTAATGTAAAAAACACACTTGGCTTACCCTGGATTTTGCATTTTCCCACCTTACATATATCTATACCAATAACAGCCATCTTTGCTCCGTACCTTTTTAAGGTAACACCATAACTCCCAAGTTTTATAGCATCTGCTGCGAGCCGTTCGACCATCCAGTCAGGCTCTAGTATCATTACATTTAGGACATGTGCACAAGAAATCTAAAATAAACACTTTTAAACTAAATGCAAACTACAATAAGGTGATCAGATTTTGACTTGTGAGGCTGGCAACAGTTCTGGTTTGATAGGCAGTCCATGCTTTTCTTTATAGAGCTTTATTATACAATAATATGGGAAATCTGTGGTAAACTGCTAATACAGGAGGACGGTGTGAAAGAAGGGAAAAATATGAAAGCTTCTGAAATGGTAGATTTTTCAGCTATAGGTAACACACTCCAGCAGTTAGCAAAGCCATAGTTCACAGAAGAAAAACATTTAAAAATCAAATAAAAGCCTTGGAAATTCTGTTTTTAATGATGCTCCTACTTGACTGTGATTACCTCTATATCAATATGGTGAATATGGTGTAGTGGGAACTGTCTGTTAAAACAAAGTTATCTAACTTCTCTGATGTGCTGCTTTCTTTTCATCCCTGATTATTTCAACCTCAATTACTTTTGAGTCTCAAGTGTTTAAAAAATAATTTCAGTTTACAGCTTTCATTTTTCTATAATGTCATATGCATTGGTGAGTTAAAGTGATTCAAACTCTTAGTCTATATTTTAAATGCTATTTTTTCTTGCTCCTCATTATGTGGAATATTGTGTACCTGTTGGAAGTACTTGTCACAGTTGATGTACTCTTTGTCATGGGAGTCCTGCAGCTTGTTGGTCTTCACATACTGCCAGAGGGCCTGAATGATGCAGGAACGAGTCTGAGTGTGGATGCCGAGGAGGCGCGCCAGGCGGAGGTCCAGCTTAAACTGGGGAGGCTGCGGACACATTGTAATGGTCATTGAATCATCAGAATCAGATAAACCTTCCACTGAGGATTTGACACCTGCAAAAAGCTTTAGTTTAAGGTTAGTGGTCTAAAATGTGCTTCCTGTTGATTCACCTGGTAGTCCAGCATCAGCAGCAGGGTGCAGCGCACGCTCACATCTCCGGGTCTCTTCACCTGGAAGCCGTCTGTCTCCTGGGTGGTGGGTGTGCGGTGCCACTGCAGGAGCAAGCAGACAAAATCTAACCTTATATCTCTGCAACAAAAAAAAGCTGAATGTTCCCTTAAAAAAAAAAAAAATTGTCTACCTAAAACAACCGCGGGAGGTAAAATGTTCCTTTTAACTAACAGCTTTAAAACCTTAGTTTACAACAACCTCCAGACTTTTAATCACGTACAAAAAAAACAATATTATTTATTGTAATTGAAATGTACGGAAGAGGATTAGGGCCAATGAAAAAAAAAAAAAAAGTTAATTGATTTTTTTAATTTTATTTCAGTATAGTATGGGAAAAAAGTCAGAATTCTGACTTTAATCTCAGAATTCTGACTTTTTTCTTAGTATTCTGAGATTAAAGTCAGAATTCTGACTATTTTCTCAGAATTTTGACTTTTTTCTTAGTATTCTGAGATTAAAGTCAGAATTCTGACTATTTTCTCAGAATTTTGACTTTTTTCTTAGTATTCTGAGATTAAAGTCAGAATTCTGACTTTTTTCTCAGAATTTTGACTTTTTTCTTAGAATTCTGACTTTTTTCTCAGAATTTTGGCGTTTTTCTTAGAATTCTGAGATTAAAGTCAGAATTCTGACTATTTTCTCAGAATTTTGACTTTTTTCTTAGAATTCTGACTTTAATCTCAGAATTCTGACCTTTTTATTGTCAGAATTCAGTCAGAATTCTGAGATTAAAGTCAGCATTCTGGAAAAAAAGTGAGAATTCTGACTTTTTTCCCATGTTAAACTGAAATAAAATTTAAAAATCAGTTAACTTTTTTTTTTCAGTGGCCCTAATCCTCTTCCGTAGAAATGTGCTATGCCATCATTAAGTTTATAGCACTTAATATACAGTGCAGTAGTTTATTTAGCTATGATATAATTTTAGTTGCAGTTTCAGAATGTTGCACAAAAAAACCAAACAATTAATTTGATTAAGAACACGCTGGTGTCTCAATGAAAGGGGGGCTCTATTATAGGCATCTCTAACAGTTTTTGCACTGAAGCATCCTTTTTTTATTTTTATTTTTTACTTTTTTTTAAAGTTGCTCAGATTGTCAGGGTCTTCAATCTGTAATCAAGTCCAGGATGGATTTTTGGAAGATCGTTATGTATTGTTGTCAAACTCTTTGCCTATAGGTCCTGTCACGCAAAGGATTGTGGGCAACCTTTAGCTTTAGTGTCTATGAAATAGCTCTTCATGGCTACTTCCTTACTGTAAGTATAAATCTGACTTTTAGCACTTTTCATATCGATCACTGATGCACGTCCACTGTGGATGAAGCGTCCTTTCTTATTTGAGGTATTTTGATGGAGCCCTTGACTGCATATTCAGAAGGTAATGAAGTTATTCAGGTGTGTGGAAGCAGCAGCATATTATAACTGCAGGATACTCTGAATTGAGGCTCTATCCACACAAAGACGAACACGGCCTCTTTTCATAAACAGCTTAGAAAAAAGATGTTTCCACACGAGTGTACACAGCACCAGTAGAGCATAAATGACTAAATACCTCATGAATCCCAACATGGTATTTTCACAAGTGAATAAATCCATTTGAAGTGAAAGTTGGATTTCAAAATGAATGCAGATGCAATCAAAGATTAATTTATTTAAAACCCCTAAAACAATCTTTACCAGGAGTGCCGGTAATTCTGACTCTTTCCATGCCAAGAAGTTGATATAAACAGCTATAACAAGGTGACGTTTTCTTTCCTGCTCTTGACAGGCAGCACTATGTTTGGTAAAAGATTAAATATCTCTAAAGCAGTCATGCACAAAGTGAAAAAAGAAAAAATGCATGATAGAAGTTTAACCAGGATTGTTGTCCTCGAGCAAAATGTTTTGTTAAACCAACTTGGGTGTTTTATTTTGCTGTATATTCATCAAAAAAATAAACATTTTAAATAAAACTGAGGGAATCTGTGCAGCGGATAGATCAAGTGTAGAGGAGTATCTTTTTTTTATTTCTATTTAATACTAGATATTATCAAAAAGATTTAAGATTTACTCTTAGGCATAGAACTTAAGAAAAATCATGCAAGCATTAGCAAAAGCACATTTATCCTTAAACCGATGGCTGACGTTCTCAGAAAAGGTTCGACAGTGAATGCACCTCAAGGTAGGGATAAAATTCCTTTGATTGAAAATCACTTAAGGAGAAACACCTGAGTGGTGAGGTTGATAAAAAAAGAGGAGCCTTGAGAGGCCGTCATTTTTATTCTGAAACTCCTGTAGTGGATTTCTTATTTATTTTTTTTAACATCACTCACTTTATGGAGATTCAGAGTGAAGAGCAGCGGCTGGTTGTTTATAATAACCAAGCAGCCATTTTCACAAGCTGCATGTTGAAACAACCTTGTGTGCTGCAAAATTTAAAAAGAATCGCCTCTTTTTCTACAGTTGGGAGAGAAATCTGTGCTCCGCATAGGGCAGACGGCCCACTCTGCCTCTTATCCTGCTTTATTTCCTGTATAACCAATGAGAACATGAAAGAGAGCAGGCGAGATGGGATCATTGTTTCTTAACATTTAGCCAGGCGTGACAGAATGGGAATTTTTCAAAGACGGAAACTATCACTGACCTTGACTACATGGCTGGGAAGTCTAACTCGGTGATTTAAGCTGGGCAGAGAGGCGCTCTGTTAATCATGGAAAAAGTTGCTCAAGAAGAAGCCGTGAATGTGGTCCAGACGACGGAGCAAGAGGAGAACTTACAGCATCGCTAACATGTAAATGATTCTAGGAAAGGATGACATATTTACACTACTGATAAAATACTGTTGTCATTCTATTGAGGGGATTTTAGAATTTGAGCATCATGGATGGATGGATGATAAAGGAGAGCGTTTAACTGATAACATTTTAAACCTGTTTAACCTTTGATTTTGAAAAATGACCACCTTCAAATGAATGTTTCTATCCTCTAGATGCACTCTCTCTCCATCAATTTGGTGGCATTTTATGAGCACGGAAGGGGCTAAGACGTGATGGGAAGCTATTGGACTGCTTGTGAAATACAGATTGAAGAACAATACAGAGAGATAGTATATGATGCCACATTCCATCTAAAAAGACTCCTTTAGAGGAGAGTGGTGAGGACAGCAGAGAGGATCACAGGAGCTTCTCTTCCCTCCATTAAAGACATTTCATCCCAGCGCTGCATGTCCATATGATCATCAGCGACCCCTCACACCCCCACCATGGACTGTTCTCCTTGCTGCCCTCTGAGAAGAGGCTTCACAGCATTGAATGCAGGTTCCAGCAGATTCTGCAACAGCTTCTTCCCCGCTGCCATCAAACTCTTATCTATACTCTGCATCACACGTGCAACATCACATTTCCACTACGAACATGGCTTGTTTTTCTCCAAATCCCTTTAAGTGCATCACAACTCAATGTTCTACTGCATTTTGCAACATATCTATTTATTTTGCACTCCATTTAACCTTTCCATATCAATGCCTTTTGCACCATGACTTTTAAACTGGTTTCCTTTTCTCCTAAACTGTTTACATTCTTGATCACTGCTGCACGTTATAAATGGTAATGTTCATTTCACTGCTGTAAGCTGTATGCATCTAAATTTTGTTTTGTATACAAAATGACAATCAAGTTTGTCTAAGTCAATAAAAATAACTAAATAGAAAGTTTGTGAAAAGCAGACAAAAACAAGTTTAGTGAAACTTTTTTGATGAATTTGGAAAGCTCAACAGAACTGGAGCTGTTCATAACCTGTGTTGATAGGAGGCAGAGTTTATAAAGAGTTGCTTCTCTTTGCTCCCTTTTATTTGTGAAAAAGGCTGCACTTGCATTTAACTTTTAAATGAATGCAATAAAAAATAAATTGATTAAATAAAAGAAGATCCCTTTAAAACATTATTTAAGTTCTGCACATCACTATATGAGCAATGTTTAGTGGTTGAATTACAAAGTTAGTATTAGTAAAGTGAGATGGGACACAAAAAGCTGTTTCTCTTCATCCAGGCTGACATATAATGACATGTCCTTTGTTTCACAATTATTATAAGCGACCTGAAACAATAATAAGCTGTGGTTTTAAGGGGGTGTTATGAGCAGTACTATTTTTTGACTTCCTTGAGCCTCTGCTGGTTGCCTTATGGTGTCAGGGTGACCACCTTCTTTCTATACTTTTAGTTCAGACATGAGAATTGTGTCAGTTTTCCCGAGTTTATTCTTGGCAAGTAGCTGAGTGAGTCGGTGAAATGACATGAAGGAGTTTCATTGTGACTCATTTAAGGTAAAACAGAGTCCTGTTTCACGGCCCTTGACTTCTAACAGACAAGTATTTGGTGTGGAAAACAGAGTTTGAGCTTGACAATACCATGAAAGCGCAGATTGTGCTAATTCTGCCTAACTGGGTGAACATGTTTATCTCTGGTTTGTTGCTTTTATGGCTTTGTAGAGAAATAAATGAAACAAGTAGCATAGCAATAGAGGTATTGCTTTGATGGCAAAACACATAGACAAGAGTTATTTTAGTGAGGTTTCATCAAGAAGGTGTGTAACCAGTTTTTTTCTTCATAACTCTGAACTTAATTCAGATTGAGCAGAACTAAAGTTCTATACACGTGTTTATCAGTGACTTAAGTCAGAAAATGCCTCTAAAATGACACATGTGTGATCTTTGTGGGGTAAAAACATCCTGATTTTGCTGACCTCAACCAGGTGGTTGTCCGGACCATACAGCTCTTTATCCAGCTCAATCACTAGGCTCTTGAAAAATGAAGAAAACTTCTTTTTCTGCTTCCCCGGCTGCGGAAAAGAAACCCAGACAGAGGTGGTTGGTTAATCTCCAGGATCTGATAACTGATGGTCAGATTCATAAATGCATCTTGGCCCTTAGCGTCATTACTTGAGAAACCACGAGGAGCAAAGAGAGATCGGAATAAAAATAGGACAGCAGTTGTTCTCATGGTCCACTTCCTCTGAGCTACACTTAAAATATTTGTGGGTTTTTAATGCAGTAGAGTTCAGAGTTTCTAGTACAAAATAAATCATTTTGTCTTTGATCTCAAAACACTCTTCTCACCATTTAGACATTTAAAACGCTGACCCAATACATTACAGTATAATGTGATACGAGTACTTCATTAAAGAAGCCCGGGGCAGCTTCTGGTATAAATACTAGCACAAAGTCAAATCAAAATCTCAACTTTCACAAAGTAAACAAACATTTTACCTATAAATTTATTAGAAAAATGTGCACCTATCCAAGATTCTATGACACTAAACAACTATCCACGTCAAAATAATTTAGAAACTTAAAAGAAAAGTCTAAAACGAAAGCAAGAAAAATTAAAACTCACATCATCCAGCAGCTTTCCTTCTACCCTCAGCTCCCATGATGCAATGCTGCCATCTGAGTCGTCAGCATCGGGTCGAGCTGGGTTGAACGTGTTGGAAATATAGAGCCTTAGTTTACGCTTTTGCTGCTGACACAAGGGCAAAATCAGGAGCACAGTTTAGTACAAAATAAAACAGAACTACAGGTGAACCATAAATAGCTGAAAGTCTGATCTAATTATAAAGTAAATGGGCAATTTAACAAATAAACCTTGTGAAATTGCCTATGTAAACAAGAAAAGAACATGCAAGTAGTGGGCGTTTTGTGGGTGATTCCAATACTCAACAGATAACAAGCGCTGAAGTGTTGTGGATCAGAGCATTTAAACAAGGATTCTGCATGTGTTGCTGCCTGACACTATGGCCACGTTCACACAGCAGCCTGAAGAACCCCAAATACGATTTTATTGCTCATATGCGACCTGTACCTGATCTTTTCATGACAGCCTAAACAACATAGATCTATTTTTTTTTTTCCAATTAACCCAGACTTCTTGGCTATGTGGTCTGAAACCTGACACAAATCTGATCTTTTCAAATTCATCCTACAAGAATGTCATAAATTCACAACAAAGCTTCTTATTCTGCATCTTGTAACGCAGAAGCAGGAAGAAAAACAACCATATCAGACGATAATGTGAAGATAACTCTTTCTTTTTGGATCTTTTTAAATAGATTGCTTTTTAATGCGCTGGCTCTGGTTGGAAAAGAAATGAAAAATTGGAAGATGTGAAGCACTCCAGCTCTACCATCAATGTTTACTTCCGTAAACAGAGCACGCTCACTACTTGTGATGTCATTGTGTCCTCTACTGCGCATGCAGGACAGTTAAGCGGTATGAATGCAGTTCACACGGGAGATCACATTCAGGTTGCATATTTTTTAAAATGTGAATGAACAAAAAAATAAATAAAAAAATCAGGATCGAGCATATTGAGCATTAAGGCCTAAAGTTTTAACGTAGCTTATGAGAGCGATGGGAGAACAAAGTGGATTTATTTTGTGTGTCTCAGGCAGAGAAGAACAAAAAGGATCGTCCCTCTTTGTGTGGAAAAAAATCTGAAATATTTAGATGTACAAACATGGAGAAGTAGTCGCTGCCATCTAGATCCTTCCAGCTGTCCCAACAGTTCTGCGTCAATGTTTTAATTTCTGAATGAAAACCCACTAAATGGACTGAATCTGCTATTTCAGTCATGTCACAGATGCTGGAGCTCGTTAGTAGACTTTCTTTGTGCTTGCTATCAAGTTGTTTTTTACTTTCAAAAAGTTAGTAGATCAGAGCCTTAAAGATTTAACGTGAGGGTTGTTTTTTTTTCCTTACCTTCATTGGTCTCTTTAGTGCTTCCTGGATGTCCACACGTTTACGCATAATGGTTTGGTCCAGTTTGCGTTCGAACGCTAGTAGATCCATATAGGCCTGAGATTCAGGAACCAGTTCACGGATCTGCTCAGAAAAAAAAAAAAAAAGAAATCATATTTAAAGTTTGCACAAAACTGATCAAAAATACAAGCATAAAAAACTCACGGTTTGTTCACAACTATTAATATTTTTTTGCAAACAGGCAACTTTTTGGGGGTCTGCATAATGTAAAATAGATTTTATTCCTCTTTATTGTCAAAAGTGTTTAATTCAAAAACAACCCTAAACTAATCCGCATTTCCTTTATGAGTTATGGCGTAATATTTTATTGTTCTTATCTTTTAAGAAATAGGAGTGACTATTAGCTGATGCTGTGACCAGATATGGAGCCTGGGGGGGAAGTTCAACTGAAGAAACTAATTGCTCTCCTACATCCACCTGTGACACAGCCAATCAGCTTTAAATCACACCTCCATGAAAGCCAATCGGCATCCAAAGTTCATCTTAAAAGGCCTCCGATTCGCACCTGTCTGCTCCTGTGCGCAAGCGGCGGATACGCTGTGTGACTTCATTCAGATGACACCATTACAACCCACCACCAGCCCCTCCTCCACCATCGTAGCTAAAGCTTCATCAGAAAGTAATTCCTCCTGGACTCTCACTGTGTTCCCTGTCTCATCTAAACCAGTCCAGCAGAAGGCCGCCATGTTGAGCCTGGTTCTACCAGAGGTTTCTTCCCAACAGGGAGTTTTTCCTCTCCACTGTCGCTTCATGCTTGCTCATCATGGACAGGTTCTCTCAACCTGTGTTATCCAACTGGACTTCCATCTTCATCTCTATCCAGGTCCCTGAGTGAAGCTCTAGTATCAGCTCACGCAGTCCACTGGATCTCCCCATAAAGCTCAGCAGACCTTCTCACTAACCAGCAGTCTACAGACTGACCAACTTCATCTATCTCCACTCCACCACCAGTTTCAGGCCTGGGGGAAACAACCCTGTTCTTTACTGCTGTTCATGCATATTTATTAAAATTCAGCGCTATGTTTCCTGCCGAGGTCTGAGCGCCAAAGACAAAGTAATTGTATCAATACATTCCTCCTAAATGTCTTTTCTCTTCTTGTGAGTTTTCCAGATTGAAATGACAATCAATGTTAACAAAATAATGATGGACCATTTCTTTACCGTATGTTTCAAAGTTATTTTCTAGATCTTCTTTCTCATTTCTCACAGATATATTTATCAGATTTTTTTTTCTTTTGACTAAATGTTTAAGCTAATAGAGCAAAAATGCTTCCCAAATAATGTTTTAGGGCTGATGTTATGATTGTAAACTAAAGTTACTCCTAACCCCTGCTTTTTTATTTGTGATTTTACAGTAACTTTAATTTCCATTTCAAAGACATTAATACACTCTAATGTTTTAAAGACATAAAAAAATATTCTTCTAAGACTTACCAAAGCTTGTTGACTAATATAGTCAAAGTTTCTAAGTGTTGCTAGTGTTAGTAAGCTAAAGTTTAGACCTTTCTGCTACAATTGATCATTTTATATGCTGTAATGTTGGAATAAAACATAGTTTTTCTCTGTTAAATATGTGGATAATGGGACCTTCTTACAATAACTTTATGTGTTTAGCTAAATGTAGATTATTTCGCAAATCAATTGATCTGTTGATTATTTTTTTGATTAATCGAAAGATTCCTAAGATTGCCAAAGATCCCTTAAAGATGACCTTTTATTAAATGAAACTAGGTGAAACTCAAACTTTTCCACTTGGGGAGTTCTGGATAGAGTTATAATATTTTTTTTATCTTAAATGCAAAATGTTTATATATATATTTTACATTCTTGGCATAATTACAGCTCAATGTGGGTTCCTCTGTCAGCTAAAGGCATTGATTAGAGTCTATATTCTCCAGTTAATGATTAATCGATTGCTAAATTAGTTAATGGTTATTTCAATAATCAATTAATCACAATTAATCAGATTCATTGCTTAAGCCCTAGCTAAATGTTAGCATCTATCTATAGCATGGATAGTTAATATAGTGGAAAGTTTATTTGTTTTAAGTAAAATTTGATGTATAAAGATAAGAGACCTGAAGCAGATGGTTTGTTAGGTGCATTTAGGACTGTGTGTAAATAATACTAAAGTGGCTAAAATAAACCATTGCAGAGGCGCTGCCAAGGTTCAAAGTGACATTTAGGATATTATTCACTATACTGATAAAACAAAGATGAAAGTTTTTGGGAGGAATGTCTATGGTTATGTAAGACAACTCCTTGAGAAGAAAAACACAATCCCAACACTCAAACATAGAGGCAGTAGTGTTTTGTTATGACTTTATTATATTAATGGAAATTATAATACAGAAATTCCTTTAGAAGAATCCAACAGGATGGTTCAAAGAAGAACATTTAGGTTTTACAGTGGCTTGGTCAAAGTCAGGGTTTATCTTTAATTACAATGCTTGGAAATTATATTAAAGATGAAAAAAATATATATATGAACAAAACTGCAAAGACCAACAAGATAAAAAATCTCCTCTGTGATTTAATGACAGCTGTTGCTGAAGGCACATGTTGGTTTGGGTAGGTTTTTCATTTCAGAAATACAATCATAGTCTAAGGAGAAACATAGCTTTTGTTTGATATGAGAATGAATTAGAGGATTTTAAAGTGTGAAAAAATATTGGGGGAAAAACTGAGTTGAAGTAGAAAGAGTTAAAATAAAATGAAAAATATATTTACTTAGACCCACAGCTCTGTCCACTATTAACAGGGTGCTCCGCCAAGCGATGGAAATAAAATGCAGACGATCAGGCAGAACTCAAACATTACCATACTGATGAAAGTCCTCACAGCATCAAGGGCTGCTGTTGTGCACTCACACTCCTCCAGGCAGCTCCCTATCCTCCCTCCCTGCTGGCTCTTTCATGTCTTCCTGCCTTCATTGTTCCTCTCATTCCTTCTCTATCTGCCGGGCCGAGACACCGAGCTGGTGGAGGAGTCTGGCAGACATTCCCTATGCTTGACTCATTTTCAGGAGTGCCGCTCCATGCCATGCCACGCTATCTGTTATCTCTGTCTGGGTAATGTCAGAGGAGGGGGGCAAGACTTGAGGCTGCACGTCCACAGTCCAGAGACCTCTGCAGCCTGGCGAGAGTGCGAAATAAAAAGCTTTACCTCAAACCCTACAAACTCACCTGTGGGAAACGTTTTCATCTGCTGCCTCTTTTACTTCTCAATGTGTTCAAATCCAAGCCTCGCAGTTGTAATGTGAATTGGTTAGAAATCATTCAAATCACAAGAGAAAACCCTAAAGAAAACTTCTCATCACTCCACTCATCCTCTCTCTTCTCATTTTGGTAAAATAACGAATAACGATCCGGTCCCTCTGTACTTTCAAAGAAACCTCAGGCATCAAAAAGCAATCAGGATTTTTTTTCTCTTCTTTGCACACCAAAAATAAAAAGACAGACGGACAGAAAAAAATCAGAACAACAAAGGTAAATATATGCAGCCTCACCCTTTGCGGAAGAATCTTGTCTGCCATTTTCCTTCTCTTAGCACTAGAGACAGGGAGAGAAAGACAGAGAGAAAGAGGAAAAAGAGAACATGTTACTATGGTGACTGATAGCGTAGCACCCAGGCCATCTGCTAAAATGCTGGGCCATATCCAGCACCCCGGCTGTGCATGTGTGTGTGCTCCAGTGTTTGTGTGCCCAATGCAGCCATCCACCTGGGGAGCCAGAGCCTGTAACAGCCCAAAAAGTGTCACATCACACATCTCTCACCTGATACATATTCACTGCAACTCACACAGAAAGATGCACGAACGTACTGCAGAATCAGTGGTGCAGGACGTGGACGGGATGTGTGTTGGAAAGCTTTTTAGGAAACGCAGACCCTCTGCCGTTTCTGTGTGTGTGTGAAACGCTCATTGATTCATGAATTCCAGGCACGGGGATTTGTTTTCTTTACTTATGCAGGATGTATAAGGGGAATATAAAAAATTCTGATAAACAGATGCCTTTATAAGACAAAACAAAAATAAATAAAGAAAATTATTTTACAGTTCCCTTTGCTTGTGAAATTAAACATCTGTGGGCACTTTGATATACGCAGCACGCAGCTCATGCAAGTTGTCTGTGTATGCAAAAAGAAAGCTTCTAAAAACAACCGGGTACACACTGCAAAAACAGCAAATCAGAATAACTCATCATCTCATGTTCATCTAAACTTATCTTTCTCACTGCATAAATAACCTTTCTTTAAGTATGCTGCATCCTGCATACAGTGGGTTGTAAAAGCATTCAAACCTTTTGACCTTTTTCCCGTTAGCTTCAGCTACAAACTTCAATAGATTTTGTTAGGATTTCATCTACTAAATCAATACAAGGTAGAGATAATTGTAAATATGAAAGAAAATCAGGTGTGGCTGTCACGAAAAAAAGGTATCATGCGTATCTTTATGTTCGCTGTTTAACCTATTTCTCTTTATGTTTGTAATTTAAACTCAGTATAAATCCAGCTGTTATTTGCTCAGAGGTTTGTTAGGGAACATTAGAAAACAAACAGAGCAGGTCAGGGAGAAAGTAGTGGAGGTTTAAAGCAGGCTTCAATCGTAAACGTTTGAACATCTCACATAGCAGCATCATCTTAAAATGAAAGGGTATGCCACAACTGGGCGTCCATCTAAACTGGCAGGCCAGCAAAGACGCCTGTGGATACATCATACCTGCCTTTCTTATAAGGGTCGGGGGAAGCATGGAGCCACATAAAGACCAATATTGAAGAAAACCTGTTAGAGGCTGCAAAAGACTTGAGAGTGGGATGGAGGTTCGCGCTGCAGTATCACAACAGCCCTAATCGTTCAAAAAAATTACAATAGTCTAGTCAAAGTAAAGAGACCTTAATGCAATTGGAAAAATATGGCTTCTCTTTTGCGTAGAAGAATGGGCAAAGATGACTGAAGCTGTCCAAGAAAACACTTCCAGCTGTATAGTTTAACAAAGCATTATGTAGAAACTTACAAATGTACAGCACCGTTTTCGGATTTGTAAAAGCAAAATATTGAAAGCTACACATCCACTTTCCTTCACTTTACAGTAATGCACTCTGTTGTTTCATTGCATAAAATCCCATTAAAATGTTTTAAACTTTGCTGAGTTAAGCTTGATTAAAAAAAGTTTAGAGGGGAATAAATATTTTGCAAGCTGCTATACAAAGTCGGCCTGCAGCCATGGTAAAAATAAAGCAGTGAAGTCTTATGCAGTCTTATCCGTCAACAAAATAATATTTTAATTCAACAGTTCCCCTTCAATATGCAATAATGAATAAATAATGACACCATGACATGATGCATTTAACTGTTTTTATATAAATATACAGAGGTAGCTTGTTAATCATTTACAGGGACACTAAACTCAGAGGATAGGTGCTCATCACATGCATTTGATCGATTTAAAACAATTTTAGTATTGGATAGAATAAAGTTAGCTATAAAAATGTTGCATTAAAAGAGGAGGAAAAAGTCAAAAGGTTGTTGGTGGGGGTTAAATAGTTGTTGCATTTGGGGAAATTGTTTTATAAACATCTGGCTTCCTACATAAAGCCTGGGGGAAAAAATATCTCCCTTTCTCTTCAGCAGGTAAGGGGTGCCACATCCCCATAGAGATGCATGAGAGAACTAGAAAAAATTGTTAAAGACAGAACTGACAGAATGTGTTTGAAGTGATTTTGCACCTCCCCTTCCTAATGGTGCCCTGGGCAACTGCCCATATGGCTCATATTAGTTCTGGATCATCAAAATAAGTGGTCCTCCTAATTGTCAATCATTCTGGTGATATGTTTATGTAAGGCCGTCTTACGTGCTCGTCCCTTATTTTCACTTACCGGTGGAAAAATTGCCAATCTCCTTTTGGAAAGTAAGCTTGTATGAGCGATGCAAACAGCAACTTTTAAACAGAGCGTGCACAAGGAGAAATTGCGCTGTGTACCGTCTTGGGAGCGGGAACAGGGTTGTGCATGTGGATTTTTTATTAAATGTGGAAAGGGAGAGTGTTTTCAAAAATCAGTTGGAATGCTATCAAGGACAAATGAAATCTTGATCAGGACATCCGTAGTTTTGATTATTTCAAGCGTTACTAAAGATCTGATCAAAACTGAGAAATTTTTGGGGTTATTGATACTATAAATGTTTAACATTCAACACCAAATAGTTATAATTAGTATGGCATTGCCTACAAGCTTTACAGTTTTCTAAAGGTACGGAAAACCTTTCTTTCTTTTGCATTCCAGAATTTAATTTTTCTGTCCGAGAGAACTGCAGCACTTTCTATGCAGATCTATGAGCATGCCCAGTACTTCAACTAGCCCACTGTAGGGGAAATTAAATGATCTAGATGAGAATAAAAAAAGAAACTAAAACATTTTGCTATTTTACACTGTTTGAAACATACTTTATAATAGGAGTCTGGTCCCATCATGCCATGCTCCAGGCCAAAGCAGGCACTACTGCGGTTTAAAGGGGGTTTCCCTCTCAACCTGCAGGTATGTTTGGCCAGACTACTTCATTCAGGGAGGGGGGGAGAGGTTGCTGGGCTCAGGTAAGGCCAAAGTCATAAATAGAAAGAAAAGGGGCATGCAGCAGAATGAACTCCTACTTTGATCCAAGCGTGGGATCTGATTGGGGCTCTCTCATGTCCATCTGCCTCGTCGGCATCTCGCTGGCTCCGGGAAATCCAACGGGCTTCCTATGAATTGGTGAGGATCCGAAGGTTGTCCGATTAGTGTTATGGCGAGACACACATTTACTCAGAGGGAGGAAACACCTGTCGGCTCGTTTTATTTTCTCTCATTTCTGTATGCGTTGGACGTGTGTGAAGTTCAAGGGTCTGTTAGTAGGTGCAAACTCCATGACTGGGACAAGGCCAGGCACTGTGATGGGAGCGTAACCGTGTCCATGCTCGTGCAGTGGAGGAGGACCTGGGAGGCGTCCCGCTCGTCTGAGGGACACGCTCATTCAACAGCGTTTCTCAGGGAACCAAAACAACCATGCTTCACACACAGAGACAGACAATACACTGATAGGGACAAACACTGAGAGATCACAGGGAGGAGGGGGAAATGAAGGCAAAAAGGTTCTCTCTGGTTCGACTCGTTTCTTCAAGCCAGTTTGATGCAGTGATGAACATGTAGGGCAGATGAAGACACCGTGGATCTTCTCAGAACGCTCCTTACAACTCAAATGCTTTTGCAAACACCAATACATGGATTACAATGTCATCAAATTTAAATATAACATGCTGGGAGTCCCTATTAATTGAAATCGTGGGAAAATAAAAAATTCTTGTGCTTAAATATAGTCGAAACATGTCCTGGAGTGACATGGAATGCATCCATCATGCTGCATTCAGTGGAAATCTTTCGCCAAAATCAGAAACATTTGATCAGCAACATGTTCATCAGTAGGGCTGTTTTTATATGTCTGCAAACATAAACTACTGGCATTGATGGCATGTTAATTTGAGGCTTTTAATTGTTAATTTACTTAATACAATACATGCAGCCTCATTGGGTTTTTAAAAATACAGCCAAGTCAAAGTATATGCCAGACTGTTCTTTAACCCATCAGGGTTCAGTTTTAACTCTGTCTGGATGTTTGAAGGGTGGGCTTCATTGTCCAGGCCAGATTTAAGGGTTGATCTGTTACTGTTTGAAGGTCTGGGCTTTGGGACGATCATTCCCAACCCAGATTTGTCCAATCTGTTATGTGTGTTGCACCATCTCCTCTTGGACCATCAAAATTCTCAAAGTTTCAACCATCTTCCCTGACCCAAACCGTAACCTTCATCTGAAAGGACAAAGGTCAAAGGAGAGTAAGAATCATGTTAACCTTGATTAAAAAAACATTAAAGCAGCATCTTTATTATAGTTTGGATGCCAAGTTAACACCTCAAACCAGTTTCCCCCTTCATTGTCTTATGGTTGGGAGTCTTATTTCTTGTTCCAGAGCCAACAGAGAGAGAGTACATGGTCTGCAGCAACTATTACTTAGTTGGTACATGTCAAAATAACATCCTCATGGATGGCAGTGGTGGAGGTTTCCCAGCTGCCTAAAGTATCTCTTGCTCAGCCTCTTCCCACAGAGCAGTATGCTGTCCGTTCATCTTTAGGGCCCCTGCACTAAATTTAAATGATGAAGTCATCGACAGGTTTCTGCAGAACTTGCAGACAGACTGTTAAATGCAGCCATTTTCAGCAGAGAAACAGTTAGAGGAGTCATCACTCAGAAATCAGACTTTTTCCATTTTCATGCTTGTGGACTTTAGTTAAAGCTGTTCTTAAAAGAGTTTGAAAATTGCTTCTTTTTTTTTTTAAGTGGGCTCTTTATAAACTAGAAAAGCCCACAAGAGCAGGAGTTAGTCCTCCTCTTTGACTTATGTCATTCGCAGAAGGGAGCTAACATTAAGAGGTGGGAGGTACTCTGACTAGTTACATTTTCTTTTTGAGAAAAGGTTTAGGAGCAGTTTTACAGGAATGTACTATTTATTTTTAGTCGAGTTAACATATGATAAAATATCACTGCTCTCACTTGAGTAAAATTTCTATCTACTCATCTAAGGCTACGTTCACACTGCAGGCCTTTTTTTTGTGAAATCCGATTTTTTCGTGTTGTCGTTCATATTTCCAAATATATGTGACTTGTATGTGATTTCCTGTGTGAACTGCAGTCACACAATACAAGTGTCCCGCATGCGTGCTCTTTTTTCCGGGAGTAAAGATGGATCTAGCGGTCTTTTTCAACCATAAAAACTCAATCTTTTCAATATGTTTAAACATAAATACTGCTCTCCGCATCATCATCTGCCATGGTTGTTGATTTCTTGCCGCTTCTGTGTAGCAAGACGCAGAATAGTGACCTTTATCGGGTATTAATGGCGTTCAGCTCGGATGAATGCGACCTGGCCGTTCAGACAAAGGTTGCATTTGAAAAGATCAGATTCGTATCTGATTCAGGACCACATAGCCAAGCGGCCTGGGTCACATTGGAAATCTGTGTTGTTCAGACTGCCATGAAAAGATCAGATCCAGGTTGCATGTGGGCCAAAAAATTGGATTTGGGTCACTTCAGGCTGCGGTGTGAATGTAGCCTAAGAGCCTGGGACTCACCTGCAGGCGGTCAGTAAATGTTGCTGCTTGTGTAACTTCTTACCGAATGTGTCAAAGACCAGGAATCGTAAATGAATCCAATTGCTAATGTTGCTAATGCTACATCCATAGGGACCCATAAAAACACAACTGAAATGCTCATGTTTAGCCTTGCAAGAAAAAACAAAAAGAGGAGGAGGTAGACATACCTGGTCAGACAGCTGATGAACTCGAAATGTAAATCAGGACCAGACCACCCTTCTCTGTTGATCACCTGCACTTTTTATTTAGCCGTTTTTAGTGGGAGATCAAAGTCAGCACTGGACTGTAGGTGGCGAAACGTCCTCAAATCTTGGAAACCAAGTCCAGCGGATATTTTTTGAACTTTTACGGAATGACTATGACCTGGATGACTGAGAATCTTCATCAGCAGACTATAGCCTAATGTAAACCAGGAGGCCTTAATGTCAGAACCAGTATATTTAGTGCCATATGAGCTACGAATCCTTGCCTATTGGACTTTGCAGCTCATTTGTCTTAGTGAGCCTTTCTTTGGTTTCCTTCCTTGGAACCACTCTGGAGATGCTCTGCCCCACCATCTAATATCACAGTTAATCTTAACATTTTGCTCAAATCCTTATGTTGCCTATTTGTCTTCCTTGGAACACATTAAGTTTAAGACAAGAATGACCAGTAGGTTGAAAAATTATATCAACTCGTGACAATTAATAAGCATTTACTCCATCTGTCAATGGTTATGATGTAAAGTCATGGACTGAGAGGGTTTTTGAGCTTGAATAAAATCTACAGCTGCTCCTGTATGTAATACAATGAGGTTTAATGGCTATATGAGACAGAGGTTGAGGTGTTTAGACACCACGATGAGAAGGTAAAATGGTTTTGAGGATTTAAGGTTCAGGCTTTCAAACTGTAAACCAGGGTGGCAGAGGATTTACAGAACCCATTTCAGGTAAATCCTTCCAATTTACATCAAAGCACCACATTTTCTGACACAATATTTAGTCCATAAAGCCAACTGGTCTGAAATACTGCATTCAGCAGCTTCTAGCTGCAGAGTGTAGGGCTCAGTGACATTGTAAACACAGGTGGTCCGCCCTCAGCTGGCAGCACGTGGGGTCTGAGCTGCACCATGGAGGTGGGGAACCAACCTGCATGCCAGCAGACGCACACTGTCTGAGAGCAGAAACGACACAAAGACACCTGGATGGGTCACATTGGCGCATCGATCAGAGACTCGGCAGCCAGACAGGCTGCTCTGGGGGTTGAGGCTCAGACACAGAACAACATTTCCTCTGAAATGTTCGACAAGCCTGCTTAATTGTAAGTGGATCAATTGGGGCTTCAGATGGTGAGAGAATGAAACGGTGCATATTGATCACCTTTCTAATGACCACACCTGACAAACTCATCTCATAGAGTCTGTTTAAGCTTCTGGAATTCAGATATTCAGGTGCGTAGGCCGTCTCAATGTGATGGAAGAGTGGGATTTAAGAAAAAGACACAGTTCAGAGGTTCATGCATAGCAGGAAAAACAAGAACAAACAAGGGCAAGGCAAAAGATGCAAGATAATAAGAAGTGGAAAAGAGCCAATATGCAAGAGTGACAAAATGGAAATAAAGGCTGAAATGGATGCAGAAAAGGGGCAGACAGAGGCCATGGTTTCATATCAGTTAGATTTTTCTACCTCAGGTTGGACAAAATTGCTCATTGCAGGGGGCGTATACTTAGCTAAAGCTAAGTATACGCCCCCTGCAATGAGCAAGGCTGCCCATTGTTATCTCCATCTCCTTTTTTTGACATTATTCAAACTGTTTTGACACCACTGAGCTCCTTCAGCTGCAGATTTTATCGAAAATGTTTCAGTTATTTTAACCATCCAAATACCAAAACCTTCAAAGGTGACTTCTGCCTTTTACACCTTTTATTCTCTTCAAAATGTTTAACTCCTTAAAACATTTTGTCCACATGGAAATTAATAGAGTAGGCTTTTAAATCATCAAAACCTTTTTTTTCCTATTTGAAGGCCAGTTTCATCCCTTTATTTCCAGCTAGAAACATCAGTTAAACTTTAGGCTGCTCCCAAATGCAGCAGCTCTTTAATGTAAAAAAAGAAACATTTTAAGTGTCATGATCATTTTAATAAATTTTCATAAAACAGATGACGTCACCTACCCTGAAACTGTCACAGCTTTAATTTAAACCTGTTCATCTCCATTCAGTACTTTTTTTTTAACAATGCCATCTGGTCATGGAGGCCTCATTCATCTCCTCTCTGCTCTATGGTCTCACATTTACTGAATATCATCTAAAGCTGCTCTTATAAGGACATTTTTCTGCAACTTTTTTTAGAAATTGAAATGGAAACACCTTTAAAAACTAAAGCAACGATGAGTGATGGACGGTCTGCTTTATTAAAGACCTAATTTCAGTCGTTTAGTGGCCAGAAAGGGAACAGGTCTGAGGTCCAGACAGGAGAAAGGAGAAGTCTGTGCAACAGCCAGACCACAGCAGACAACCAGATTCTGTGATGTCCGACATTCAAAGAAAGAACGAATCTATTCTTGCTGAACGCTGTCGTTAAAGAAGTTTTAAAAGGAATCAATGATTAGTCAGATTGCAACGAGATGCAACAGAGAGGGAAAATGCAAAACAGAAAGCAGTAATTCATCTGGGATTTTCATGCTAAAAAGAGACAAAATGTTGGGAGAGAGAACAGGCAACACTGTTTTTATCATTGAGAATCATATCGTACTAAACATTAGAGATTGTTAAACAATGTGTGGAGCCTTTAACTATAATGCTGTTCCCAGGAGGCTCTTTTCTAGGAGGTTCATATTATAAAAATTCCTTTAGATTATAATTTCAGTGAAACCGTAGCCATTGTTGCCTTAAAGTGCTTATAGATACCACAAAGGAAGACATATAGGTGATTCTGTATGCAAGCCATGCAGTGCTGAAACTGGATTGGGTTCAGACTCACTTCCGGGCTCGATTCTGCACGGCCTGCTGCTGCTGCTGCTGCTGCTGTTGCTGCTGCTGGACCTGCTGGGATGGGGCGGGTCTCTTACGACTGGGCTCCATCACTGGGGAGGGCAGGCCGGGCCGCACCGCCGGACTCCCTCCGTATGGGGGGCCAGGGGGTCCCATGGGAGCCCCTTGGTGGGGCATCCTCGCTCCAGACGGCATGCCAGGACGCTGAGTGGGGAAGAACATGAGGAAGGGTTAGAGAGTTAAAGATATTCTCTTTAACCTTTTCTGGTTTATTAAAATAACTTCACCTGCTGAGTTATCAAAAAATAAACTTAAGTATTTAAATCCTTTGAATTCTGAATATTGAAAAAATAAATAATATTTCATCAATAAAACAAGTTCAGCTTGAATAATTTTAACAGTCAAAAACCAGGGATTCATTTGAAAATTTACATCTTGAGAAAAATCAAAAATGTCTCGTGGAACTTTACAGGCAGTAGTATCATTTTGTTTTCATCCAGGTCACTAAATTTAAGTTTCTGAACAAAAGCATTAAAGAATTCCAGATATTTGTCTGGTCAAGTAGCTGCAGAGCCAAGTCCTGTTTGCCACAATTCATGACGTTTGTTTATTTAATATTGCAAGAAAGAAACCTGTTCAAAAATGTAAAGGGAAAAAAATTTAAAAAGAAAAATGATTTAGTCGTAACCACAAGTAAGACAAGAAACAAGTTGATGAAAATAAATAAATAAAAAAAATCAAAATGGGTGCAACCTTTTTCTCTTATTTTGAGGACTGATTTTTATGAATTATTCTCTTTTTTTAAACGACCTTAACGACTTCCAATTAATAAGGGGTGGACCCGTTTCAACTCAATCTGCATGTTTTCTAAGCCATAAAAAGGCTTCTGTTGGGCAATGCCATAAAGCCTGGAACTCCACATCACTCAAAAGATTTGGAATTGAAAAAGCTTTCTGGATGGGAAGCGAAACATTTTCAAATAAAAAAAAAGAAAAACTCCATTGGTTTAGTTTTTAACCTTTTTAAATCCTTATTTACTGATTAATGCTGGGCTCCTACTGACTACACTCCAGCTGTGGTCCTGACCCAGTGCAGGCTGGCAGCAAAAAGCCTCTCAAACATTTAATCTATGTACATTGAATTTACTTATACACTTTAATAAATTCACTTTCACCTTGCTTGTGATTATGACTTATTTCTAATGTAACATCTATGGTTCCTGCTGGCTAGCCCAGGCAATAGATGGCGGCCAGAGATCAGAGCATCTAATTAGCTGATCATCACTACCAGTTGGAGAGGAGGGAATAGTATTCCTTTAGTTAAGATAGCTTTTTATAATCAAATAAAGATTTACATTAATTTGCTTCCAAATGTACTGTGTTGTTTTTAGTCAGTGGTTGGTTTGTGTTTACTGACCAGATTGATACTGCCAAGTAGGCCTACCCATTCATGTCAAATAAAGTGGTACCATATTCCTAAAGGAATAATTGTGACAGACAGGAAGTGGAACAGAGGTTGATGTTTCATGTTGGATATGAACGCATCATTCCATGCACATGATGATGTAAAAAGCCTCTGATACATTAAACAAAGCAAGCTTGGCTAACGGAAAGCTAGAGCGGAGGTTACAATCGGTGCAACATTTGCAGCTGGAATACTTCAAACTGAGAAAGCATCTGGTTAAATCAAAAATTTTCACCAGACCTCAGATTGACAGGCTACAACTCCTGCATTCGACACTTTAGCATCTGTTAGCAGCTCGTCGTATGCAGCCAGCAACATAAGGCATCATTATCTTCGTCTACTGCGGCTAAATAAGAAAAATCTCTAAGATTATGTTTGCATGGTACTAGAATTAGGTACTGTTGAGTACCGACACCAAATCCCAGGTACCGTGCATTGGGCCCCACCCATCCCTAGTTTAGTTACCCCTACTCCTGAGTTTATCAGCTGTTATAAATCCCCCTTAAGTATCATTTCGTTATTAGATTAGTTATGTTTTGTTTAATTGTCAGTTTCTGTGTAATGTTTACTTTTTTGCACAATTCTAATAAAACTCCCCGACGTTTTTGTTTGCATTCTACCAAACCTGAGAGGTTAAGGGGGTCTGGATGCTTTTGCAACATGCTGTACGTCATTGCTTTGGCAACTTTTAAGCCATATATTGTCAGTGGTGTTGTTCGCATTCTAACACATTGAGAATAAAAAGAAAGGCAGTGATTTGTTTTGTTTGTCTTCTTTGAGAAGACAAAACACTGACGAAAACTAGAGAACAATCGCAAACGCTTCGTTTTTGACGCCATCGTTTGATCTCTCACGACACAAACTGCTTTCAACCACACAAACATCTCTCAAATAATGCAAACGGTGCCAGAGTCTCCCATGTAGATTCCCTAATGGTTGGGAACAGCTGGGTCCCTCACCTGTTCCTGTCATTCTCATGGCAACAGCTGCCCCCTCCGCCTCGGTTTATTGTCTGAAACCAAAGCAATGTGCAGCAAATACAGGCAACATTAACCAGCACAGAACTCCAGCTGTTTCTGTTTAACCACAGATTGCATCCAATTTCCCTTTAATTAAAACGCTTTAACCCCGACTTGTAGGTTGAGCCTCAAATCTATTGAATTTTTTTTGGTCAAATTGTCCCACTCTGGGGCAATAGAAGTATTTCTATTCCATTGATATTTAAAGTATGAAGTTTTTCCCTCATGATGCTAATGATCTACTGTCTATAAGACCATCCCACACCATAATCCTTCCACCCCTGTGCCTCACAGTTGAGATAGTTTTTCTGTCTTGCGTGATTCTCCAGATTTTCTTCAAATTTAAATCTTCTTAATATGCTCAAGAACTTCAATTTTAACTTATTCGTATTCACCTGCAAGCAAGCTTGAACCTGAGAGAGACGACACATCTGGGATAGGAGGCATGCTTAATACCACCAGGAAAATGATTTTCTGATTGTTTTGTTTAACTTCTACAATCCAACTGTTAAGCATTTCCATTAATTTTACTAGATCCAAAAAAAAAAATCACCAAGTTAATATATTTTAGAGCACCTGCACCTGCACGCCACTTATCAACAATATCTAGTATCAGAACAGCTGTTTACGGGTTTAAAAGCAGGAAAATTTGCTTAAACTTTCAGCTAGAACTAAGACAGAAAACAGCTTAGATGACAGAATACAAATAAATACAAGTTACTACTTAAAGTTTGCACCAATATTTAATGGAAAATAAGTAAACAAGACTTGAAAATTGATAATAGTAAATGATCCTGAGCTTGTGTTAACTGACACGTAGTTAAAAAGACTTCCAGCTTGTTCTTCAGACTAAACTGTGCTTCAAAGGTAATTAAAATCCACACTAAAATCCTCAATTTTGTAAATAATGAAATAAAAAAAATTAATAGATGCACCACTTCATAGATATGGACCAAGCTGTTTTACTCTATTACATTATATCCGAATAAAAGGCTTCAAAGTTGTAACTTTTTAAATGTTTTTTTAAGGCTCTGAATTTATTCCCTCTAAAACGAAACACTGTATGCACACACACACAAAAATGATCTTTAGACTATCCCCAAACAGAGAAAACAAACAAAAACACACTAGTAGAAGCAGACAGTGGGGAAACAAAGCATTTTCGACAACTGAAATCACTCAAACATGTTCATAGAATATATGCCGCTAAAAACAAAACCAGGCAGCATAATAAAGGCTGACATAATGCACGCCCCTTGAAATGCACAGAGATAACATGAGATAAGAAGTCCGAACAGACGCGGCTGTCACTCTGGGAGTCTCTAAGGGGGGAAGGGGATGTAAGGTGGTGGTGGTGGGGGTCATAGCAACTGAGAGGCTTTCCAAACAGAAGGGGATAAAACAACATATGGCCAAGCTTCGTCCTGCTCCAGTGTTGTCACCTTTCTGAGGCTTTAGAATCTACTTCCATAGACCCGACAATGAAACAGGCATCAGATTGAACTTCCAGCTGATCGCTGGTGTTCAGGAGAACCCGAGCCCAGCAGATACCATATAGAAATCCACAGTGCGCACACAATAAGGCCCCGCTCTATAATCTGACCTGTTGCACTGATTTCGACGCTCTGAGCGGAGCTCCGCTCGCCGGCCAGCGATCCAATCTGCCATGTGGATGGCTATCTGAGAAGTGTGCTGGCATCTCAGTAAGGCTGGGGGGATTTGGGGAGGCCAAACTTAACCCAGCTCAACCCTATCTACCAGGCGCTGTGTTTGGACATAGTTCTACAGTTTCTCTGGGTTACCTATTAAAAATACCACAGAAATAAAACATAAATATTCCTTTATTTTCTATCTAGCCTTTTGCAAACATTTTGCACCTGACTAATTTTTTGGGTGCATTAAAAACAAATTCCGCAATGATATTCAAAGAATAATTGTATGTTTACTAATGCCGAGGTTAAACTCATATCTGCTTTTTACCATAACACTTGAAAATCATCAGAAAAGCAATTAATTGATTTTTTTTTCTATTTACTGCCTTGACAACCACTTCTGTCTAAAGATGAGCCCAATTTAGCTTTTAATTTGTTACCTTGTTACCTCTATCAAATAGTAATAAATTCAATAATGATCTTAAATAATAAAAATGCCCGCCTTAACTCCCTACTCATCAAACTATAATGCTTTCAAGAGAAATATTTAAAATGCTGACCACTAATGAACTTTAAAAAACATTTTGACTACTAGAGTGAGAATTTAATTGAGCTTCTCAGGATCTAAATAAATCCCCCCCTGATTGGCCAGATGGATAAATTCATTAATGTGTCTCTTTATATAACAATCTCTGGTACAGTTTATGTGGTAAACACTTAACGTCTAACAGGTAACGCTCTTATAAGATAAATGTTGATGCATTGTTGTATTTACCGTTTATTCTACAGCTTTTACCACTTTTATTTTATTATTTGTAATTATTGACCATATATGGTACCTAAGGCAAGGTCCAACACTTAAAAAAATCCTTCCAGTGTACCTCCAGCTCATCCTCTTTATATGGACCATTTACTTTTGTCACCTGTAACTTGCCAAACACACAGAACTCTATAGATTTTCTAACACGCTACCCAGTAGCCCTCTGTAGATAGACTCAGGTAAACAAAGACCTTTTTAGCATTGTGAGCTGATCATGGGTTTCTTTTATGAACTCAGAATCTTTTAATGATGCAAGTGCACGACTAGAAGATAGAAATCTTTAAGGTCTTCACTTGCTCTGCTGTGTATAGAGGTACTTTGATTTATTTAATTGAGCGTTGTCCTGCATATCGATTACTGTCTTGTTAAAAAATGCAGACTTTCTCCTTGAAGAATGTCTCTTCTGAAACTAGCCGTAGGTTTTAAGTTGTACAAACTTAATTTTAAGGACACCTTCATTAATGCCTAACCAGTGTTGCCGGTAACGCGTTACTTAGTAACGCATTACTGTAGTCGGACTACTTTTTTCAATAACGAGTAATCTAACGTAACTACTATTCCAAAACTAGTAGTCAGATTAAAGTTACTTTTATAAAACACCATGCGTTACTACTGCGCGGGTTATTTAGGTCTAATATACATTTTTTCTTTTTTTTTTCTTTTTTTTTTTGTCTATCTACGAGGTACGTCATATCTGTTCCGCGGCGCCAAAATCAGATCAAAGATTCTATCTCGTCAGATCAGATGTGATGTGAACAATGAACATGGAAGGAGAGAAGTCCGCCTTTAGCAGCTGGAAATACAGGCATTATTTTGATTTTATTTCGGTTAAGGATGACAACATTAAGGTCCGTTGTACACTTTGCGCTGGTGACAGAGTGTTGTCTACATTCAAAAACACGACATCAAACCTAAAAAAACATCTGGAGAAACAGCACAGCACAACGAAGCTAACGGAGCAAGTCCCACCCGCAAAAGACACAGGTGAAGGAGGTCCCAGACCCAGCAAGCAGAGGAAGCTGGATTTCGGTGTAAAACCAGTAAGTGGGGCGGAGTTGAACAGGATGGTTGGGCATTATGTGGTCGAGGAAATGCTGCCTGTGAATACTGTGGACTCACCATCGTTTCGAGCCATCATATCTAAGATCCCTACCAGTAATGATACCGAGCTGCCTCACAGAACATGCTTTTCTAGTTACCTGGACAAACAATATGAAGCGATGGAAAAAAATCTGAAGGCTGCGCTACATGAGGTCGATTTTGTGTCAACAACAGCTGATATTTGGACAGCTAACAATAAAAGTTACATCGGGGTGACATTACACTGGCTTAGTAAAGACACGTTAGAACGTAAAAAGGCCGCTTTAGCATGCAGAAGAGTGCGAGGGAGACACACGTATGACGTAATTGGACAAGAAATTGAAGACATCCACTCGGCGTATGGGATTGGGAACAAGGTGGTTGCAACAGTGACAGATAACGGCTCGAACTTTGTTAAGGCGTTTCGAGTTTACCAGGCTGTGTCTAGCGATGATGAGATGGAGAAGAGCCAAACCCCGATGATGACGTCACGTTTTTACCTATGGCAGAACTCTTGTCAGCTGAGCATGAAAGTGATGCTGAGGCGCAGATTGTGCTTCCTCCACACCACAGGTGTGCTTCCCACACAATCAACCTAATTTCCACAAACCGTAGAAGTAGTAGAAGAAAGCTCCTGGTACCAACCTCCACAAGGTGGAACTCATTTTTTGATGCTTTGAAGAGGGTTACAGAAATCCCCATGAATGAGCTGAATACTCTGTGCACAAAGCTGGGAGTGAAATGCTTCAAAGAGAGAGAATACCAATTCCTTAATGAATACTGCACGGCCACAAAGCCCCTGACTGTGGCTCTGGACATTCTCCAAGCAGACTGTCCTTATGGAACTTTATTACCAACACTGGAAGTCCTGATGCAGAGGACCCTGGCTGTCAAAGATGCCCTTTCCACCATGACCGCAGGCCTTCCAGATGCTATAGTGCAGGTATGATCCACGTTTAAGCTATTCCACTTAACACTATACACATTCACAATGAGAGTCAAAATGCTCACTTATGCCAATATTATGTTCAACAGTGTGCTATTTAATAAAAAAAATAAATGAATAAATAAATAAATAAATAAATAAATACACATACACAAACAAATGGGATATTTACATCACAGCACAAAAGAGAAAAAAATGAAAAGAGAAACAGAAACACAGACAGACAGGTTATTGCACGTATCCTAAACATAGCAATTTATTTTTATTTTTCAGGCGGTCAAGACCCGGTTTGGTGATCTCCTGCAAGACAGAGATGCCCTTCTAGCAGCTGTGAGCTGCCCAAAATTCAAACTCAGGTGGCTGAGAGATGCCGATAGGAGGGAGCAAGTCAAACAGCTTCTAACCGAAGAATGCCGCGCAACTGCTCCTCCAATACAGAGCTCTGCCAGTGTGGCCAACACAGTTGTCACCCAGGGTGAGATGGACTTCTTCAATTTTGAGGCAGAGCCAGAGGAGACCTACTCTGCAGAAAAGGAGGTCATGAACTACCTGAGCTCATCCCATGATCTGCAGATCCTGCATCAGTTTACAAACATCAAGAAGATCTTCATGAAGTATAACACTCCAACCCCATCCAGTGCTCCTGTGGAGCGTCTCTTCAGTCTGGGGGGTTTGGTACTCACGCCAAGAAGAAATAGACTGTCTGACCAGAGGTTTGAAAAGCTTCTGTTAATGAGGTACAATCAGTGGTTTACCTGCCCCACCCCACAGTTCCTTGCATAAATACAACTAAGTGAAGTCATGAATACAGATACAGGTTTGATTTTTTTTGTAAAACTCCTTGCTGCTCTAATGTGGGACAACTACAGGTTCATTAAAATGTTAAATATAACTTCAGTGTTACAGTAATTCATACAGATAAATTCAATCAGAGTTAAATGCATGGAGTCAAGAATGTCTATTGTATTTTGTTTTTGTTTAAAGAAGTGTTTATGTCAAATTGAGCCAAGAAAAGCTACTTTATTTTTTATAGGAAGTATTTAAGTTGGATTTAAGGGAGTCAACAAAACCGTTTTATTTGTAATAAGTATTTCAGTTAAATATAGTGAAGAGTATTTTGATTTTTTTTTAATATGGTTTTATTTCCCTAAAACCAATTTTTGCTGCTCTAATGTTAGACAACTACAGGTTCAATGTGATGTTCAATATAGGCCTACATGTTCATTCATTTATCCTGAAGGAGGGGGGGATATTAAGCCTATGTACTACTTTTATTTGTAAGAGTTTTTTGAAAAAGATATTTTAAGTAAAGTCAAGAAAGACTGTCTTTTATTTATTCTTCATTTAAAAAACAAGTAAGCCTATTTCCAGAAAATGTTTGCAAATGTTGGAGTCAATAAAGTGAGTATTGGCAGAACTGGTGGTCATTTTCATGTTATAGGGCTGGGCCGGGGATCTGCTGAAAGTAACTAAAAGTAATCTCATTTAGTTACTTTTAAAAGCAAGTAATCAGTAACTTAACTAAGTTACTTTTTAAAGAGGTAGTCAGTAGTCAGTAGTCGGATTACTGTTTCAAAGTAACTGTGGCAACACTGTGCCTAACTAATTTAGGTTGTGTGTACATCACTGGCTCAGCTTCGGACTCATCCAGCTGGTCCATCAAGAGACACCGTCGTCTCATAAGTCAATAAAACCATTAAGAAATCTTTCTTTAGATATTTCTTGCCCACGTTTTCCCATCTAGATTAGTGCTGGTTGGTTAGGGTTATGTCGTAATGTTTGCACTTAACCCTACGTCCCTCAAACAATAGGGCCGGGTATTTCGGTATTTTTGATTCATAGAGTTCTAAATCGATTAATTTCGATTCGATCTGTTTTTACAATAATGAAAGAGGTTCAACTGTGTTTCCAAATACTCATGTATTTTATTTTTTTCCTGTCACATTAAACACAAAGTGCAAACATGTAAACCGGACAGTTTAAACTTGAGGTGTGAGCAAAACTGTCTCAAAAGTGCAAACTTGTTTGTGAAAAGTAAAAAAGTGAAGCCTCACTCGAGCGAGCAGACATCACACAGCAGACATTCATGAGCTGCATTATCTTCACTGCACAAACCATATTTGCAGCGTTGTCTGTAACAACTACAGGGTGCTTGCTGGTCACCCCCATTTGTTAATGTCTTCAGCTGCAGCTGTCTGGCTTGAAGTCATCTTGAGTGCATCTTTCTGCTCACGCGCGTCACTATAAAATTAATCGATCTCTTTCCCTAGACATCAATTTTGCAAAAATGTAAAGGAATCGATTCAAAATCGATTTTTTTACCCAGCCCTATCTAAGGAGTGTTCAGTTGGTTGAGTGTGGATAAGAGTTTTAGTGCACAGACTTCAGGCATTGACAACTGACACAGCAAGTACTTGCCTCTCTGCATCCTGTCCGTATTTTCAATCTTAATGCTAAAATTACGAATTTGCAGCAAGTAATGATTAGCTATTCACATTATTACAGTATAATAAATTAATTGTTTCATAATTACACCTAAAAAACATATTTTCGCCCCAGGCACTGAAGCTGTTTTTGTTTTAATTACAAGTAAACAAAATTATGATTCAAACAAGAAATGTAATGGTTTACAAGACATATAGAAGAGAGGGTTAGAAAAAATACACATTAAAGTATAGAATATATGTGGAGTTGAATCGAAAGGCTACGGCAAAGAAAAGATCAACACGTTTTGAAATAAGTAGTCTTTAGACATGTTTGTTTTTAAGTTTTTTTATAGGTGAATTAACTCCAAAAAACACTCAAAGTCCAGTTTAAAGAAGGTTTAACTCCTTCTGTTTGTAGCAATGAATATTTGATCAAGAGGATCAAATTACACTGTCATTGTAGAGCATGTGAACCCATTGTGAATTTGAAATGCAATAATTTTTAGTGGTGATCAACTGTGCATCCAGGACCAGATTTTTGGAAGAAAGACAAAAAATTCAAACATATCTATTATGGTATTTTAGACTGGGTTTCTCTACCCTTTGGTGAAATGGGCCATTAAGTTAAACTGGGTAATATTGAGTATTACAGTTTCTCAGTGTATTTTTTCTCTTAAAAAAAACAACTTTAATAACTGTTACAAAGAACAACTTTAGTGACTGATTAATTCAGAAATCCTATATTTATTATTCAGTATATTTTCTACATATTTTATTTAACTTTGTAAGGTGAGGAAAATGTGATACATTTAAATATAAGAGTTAACTTGAAGAAGTGAATTAAATGTTGAGGTATGGCTTTGCATATTTACCTCCGCCAGGGGGTTAGTTTTCAGTTGTGTTTGTTTGTCTGTTAACAGGTTTAAATGATAAGTTATCAACGGATTTCCATGAATTTTTTGCAAGAGGTGCGCCTCATGTCAAGGAACAATCCATCAATCCTTCCATTTTTTGTCCCGCTTATTCCAAGTGGGGTTGCTGGTGCCCATCTCTCCCTATCTACAGGCGAGAGGTGTGGTACACCCTGGACAGGTCTCCAGTCCATCACAGGGCAACACAGAGACAAACAGGACAAACAACCATTCATGCACACAATCACACCTAAGGAGAAGCCAATTAAACTAACAGTCATGTTTGGGGAGCCAAGGAATAATCCATTATGTTTTGGTAATGATCCAGATTATAATCCAGATACATAATTTTTTTTAAAGGTACAGTGGAGAATGTTCCTTTTCTGGGTGGATCATCGAAATAAGTGGTCCTCCTAATCGTCAATAATACTGGTGATATGTTTATGTAAGGCCGTCCTACGTGCTCGCCCCCATTTTCACTCACCAGTGGTGAGTCTGACGTAGCGGAAAAATTATAAATCTTCTTCTGGAAAGTAAGCTTGTATGAGCGATGCAAACAGCAGCTTTTAAACAGAGCGTGCACGAGAAGGAATGGTCTCTTGCACACGTTTAATAGGCGTCCTCTGTCAGGAGCAGGAACAGGGTTGTGCATGTGCATTTATTTTTTTAAATTGGAGAGGTTGGGTCCATTCAAAAATTGCTGTAATTCCTTCACTATACCTTTAAGATATTCTAACATTATTGATGGCATTGACAGCTTCAGCATCGGACTATAAAACTCTAGATTCTAGAGTTTTGACAACAGCCAGATGCATGTCTCGCTTCGCCCAGCTCCACTCACATACATCTGGGAACCCGCTCATTGAAAGTGATTTCCCCAACCGAATTTATGGTCTGTCCAATCAGGACGCAGGGTGGGTGTGTCCTGGAGTGGAGAAGCGACCGTGAGATTCCAACAAAAATGGCGGCTCGCGTTGAGGAAGCAAGCGTTAGCATTGATGCTGCTATTTCTTCTGTGTTGTCCAATCTATCTGATATTGTTTCATCGAAAGAACATCAGAGAACGGCTTTGAAGGCTTTTGTTGGTGGAAACGATGTTTTCGCCCTTCTCCCGACCGGATTTGGCAAGAGCTTGATCTACCAAATGGCTCCTCCTCTCACAGCGTCACGGGTTAGCTTCGGTGTGAGTGGTTGAAATAGCACGTCAATGAAGATGACAGACAAGTGGCTTATCCAATCATATGCAAGGAGTTTTGATAAGGCCCAGCCTTCAGTAAAGGCAATTCCTATGGCGGGTTCCCAGATGTATGTGAGTGGAGCTAGGCGGAGCGAGACATGCATCTGGCTGTTGTCAGGTTAGCAGACCCCTGCTCTAGAAGTATTATACTGAAGATAAAAGAACACAAGACAGGGCAACCGTGCCTCGCTCAATGTCTCCATCTGCTGATGATGGAAGGACGCAGAGTGAATGAGTGCATGAAGAAAGTGAGAGCAGAACAGACACCAAAGGCTGCAGTCACACGTATTGCCTTACTTATGAACTTATGAAAGGATTTTAAAGACATTTTACCAGAGGTGTGTCTCATGAAAAGGAATAATTCATTTAAATGTCGTACTGATCCAGATCATGTGCGAGTTTTAGCTAATGGTGTAAGTTAAAATATGGGGCAAAATGTTCTGCTTGGCGAAGGTTTGTGCTCTCAAAGAGTTTTTCTAGTTTAAGGATTTTTTGATTTAGCACATCTAAAGTTATTTAGGTTAATTACATGTTCTAAAAATGACCATTAATGTCAATAAAAGGGTGATTAGATTATTTGAAAGGAATTTTATCAAAACCCAATCGCCGCAGTAGGAGCTTGATCATTACAATATTTATGCCATTTTGAGTAAAACATGACACGCAACAATGAATGCTGGATAATACACTTCCTCCAGGTCTACTTAGATGGACTGCTGACTGAAGTCTGGATAAATGGTGCATGGGGGCACAAAGGACTGCTCTGGAGAATAGGCAGACATTACGGGGAACCCTTCAGTGGGTATGCACAGTTGAAGTATGTAAGGGCAGAAGTGCGAGTTTTGGGATAGGGATTGGTTTGGAGGCCAGACTAGTTTTCCCAACCATGGATATAACCTCGCCCTATACTGGTGCCTGGAAAGAGTAGCCATTTAAAGAAATTAGATTTACTTTTAGGAGTAACCTTTAAAAAAACAACTGATAGTTTGAATCAACATGCTATTTAACCATTTTTTTCAGTTCATTATAGCCTTAAATGACATTTCATGATGAATTCCCATCCAGTTATTAATTAACTGATAGGCTGGATTAAATTAGAGCACAAAATTCTTTATTTACACAACCGTATAGTGATTTCATGTCCTTGGACTTGATAAAACACTGAATAAGTACAGAAAATTTAAAATCCCGTGTGTAAAGATGCAAATGATTGTTCCTATAACATTTACATTTCTGTATTGGTTCTGCTGGAGGTTTCTTCCTGTTAAAAGTAAGTTTTTCCTCTGAGAGATTGCATTTGAGTCAATGAGTCGATGCAATCAACTGGTTTTCCTTAGATAGAAAACTTTGAATCAATTTGACTGGATGATCTGGTTGAACTGTAAAGTGCCTTGAGATGACCTGTGTTGTGAATTGGTGCAATATAAATAAACTGAATTTAATTTAATAAAAAAAAAATCATGTGAATCAGAATAATGCTGAATGAATCAGAAACAGCTAAATTAAACTGCATAGTTCAGCCCGAATAAGAATTTCTTTGGTAGAAAATCATTTCAGTGAAGACTGATCATGGCAAGGTCTTTTGAGTATTGTGGATTATTCAAGGTAACCAAAAGCTTGTGCTTGTGTAACCGGTTCCCTTCTGCGTTGTGCTGGTTATTGGTAATTAGTCAGGCCGTGACTCGGTTTGGCTTTCTTCGATTTATTCTGACGAAAACATTAAAGAGAAAAGCAATCGTTTTACAAGCTGCCCGCTCCAAGTCCTCTCCCGCAGGACAACGTGACAAAAGGGCGGGGGCGGATCATGTCTCACAACATTAAACAAAATAAACCTTCTTTACACAACATACCTGACGAAAACATTAAAGAGAAAAGCAATCGTTTTACAAGCTGCCCGCTCCAAGTCCTACACAAACAAAAATACATAACAGAAATTCACTTAATAAATCTATAAATAAACTGGAAGTATTTAGATAGGAAATAAATAGGACACACCTCTCCCGCAGGACAACATGACAAAAGGGGAGGGCCTAAGGGACGCAAACATTTTAAAGACAAAACCATAAAAGAAGAAATAAAAAGGAGGGGCTACAGTTCTTAAAGTAACACGTTCAAAACAATGACAGCTTTTCGGTCAGGTAGAGAACAATACAAACAACCAAAAAAAGACATTTTGTGTAATTATAACAACAACCAGGTTACATTTGGAAAGTGAAGTGGATACATTTCTTTTTTCTTTTCTACAGACTAAATTTCTGTCAAAGCCACCATGTTTGGTATTATGCTGATATCTCATTCCAGATTAATTTGCTTGGTTAAAAAAACATATTGGTAGCTGAGATGGTATATTATTCCTTTAAGTCTTAGAAAACTCCGGTCTAAGTTGATGTCTGATGCAAAAATGTGCAGAATGTATCTGGAAACACAGCAACAGAGTTTCTTTTTATGTTTTGGCTTATCTGGGTTTCTCATGAAGAGCCGGAAAGGATTTCTTTTTTTTTTTTCAACCTGGCCCTAACTAACCACCAGAGCCAGACACAGCTGGGAGGTATGGAAGATAATGAGAGAGGCAGAATAGGAGAGCCTACCCATGAGCCATTACACCAAACCTTGGTCAAATCCTGTTGGAGCTCCACAACACAAAAAGCTGAAACTATAAAGCTCTATATTTACAAATGCAAAAAAAACATCTATATTTGTGTTTTCCTGCATCAAAAAGCATCTTTCTTGCTCATTTCACCCATGAAAGGAAGTAAGACGTCATGGCTTTCCACAAGCTGAAGCCAAAAGGACCTCCTGCAACTATTATAACAAGTATTTTCCATCTTCAGATTGAAAGTAGGAGGCAGAAGAGAATGAATGGGAGGGATACAGGCATGGGAGTAAAATAACGAGAGAGAAATATTTGACAAAGAGCAGCCAGAGCTTCATCAAGGTTAATTGGTCTGTTGAGAGGACGAGCTCATCTGGCCCATCCATCACCTGGGTCATTGTTTCCTAAAGTGTGTCTGCAAGCATCAGCCCCCAAAACCACTTTAATGACTACCGTTTTCAAATATATAATAATGCCTCTTCTAGTTTCAGTGCATAAATCGAGCTGATGTTGCTAAAGTTTACATCAACATAGATTAAAATTTAGCCGATCTAAAATTGGTTGCACAAGTCGAGACTGCATGTCATCACGTCTGCTCTGACCACTTTAGTTGACGAGACCAAATCACATCTGAGAGCTCAAATCATTACTTAAAATACACATTGAATTGCGTCAAGGTCCTTAGATCAGTACAATACTGAAAAAGTAAAACACAAATTTGCATTATTGTTGTATTTACTTGATAACATAATGCGGTATACATTTTATACTCTGACAGAAATAACTAAATATTAAAATTTGAAAAGTAAAAACGTTTTGCTTTGAGTGTTTGAATGATTTAGGTCTAATTTACGCAACTGTGATGATAGACTATTAGCAAGCCTGATTTATTTATTTTATAGTTACCGACATATATTCTGTATCAAAAAAAACAATGATGTTATCAGGAAATTATATTAAAAAAACACAATAAAATGAATGCATATTTTAGTGTCTTTACAGGTTTTGGACATTTTTTCTCTGAAATTATTGCTCATTAAACCAATTATAAGGGGAATATGGGACAGAAAACCAAAATCAATAAATTTGCAGGGACCAAATCAAAGACATTGTTAGCTAAAGCAAGTTAAATAAAGGCCAGAAATAAAAAAGGACCAAAAAAGGACCATCCCCGTTCACATATAAAGGCTAGCTTTAGCATTTAAAATTTTTTAAATGAACAATACAAAGGCCTAAGATAAGAACACTGCTCTGTTTTCCACTGAAGATACAAAAACAATTATCAATGGCCAAGCTTTAGCATTTAGCACAACAACTTTTTTTAATTGTTTACTTCTTAGTTATAGATTGCAAAAAAAATGTTGTTCAATGCATATCTTTAATAGAATGTCAAATATTTTAACACAGCAGCGAAAATAAAAATATTTTTATTTTCCATAGCTCCTGCTTTTAAGCTTTACTAGGTGCTGCAAGGATTTCAATACTTTCAAATGGGTAATGTACCCCTGTATAAAGGGGACTTGTATTTGTTTATATCGCAGGAATGATCATTTTTTTCGCAATTGTTATTTTGCCTGCATTACAAAAAATAAAAAGTTAAATTTACTGTAAAACGTTCAGCTGTCAGTATGTGTTGGTTGACACCAGCGGATGGATTTTCTTTTTGCTCCAATAAAACATGCAGACCTCAAGTTGTCCCATAATGACATAAAAAAAAATAGGAAAAGAATGTTATCTGTCTGGTAACTGATAAAATTGAAATATGGACAAAGATTCTTGTTTTTTTAATAAACTAAAACACTGGAATCAGCTAATTATGTTGAGATATGAATCTAAGACCCTTTAAATTCTCATTATTAGACCAATATTATTCCTCTAAAATAATCCATACTTGAAAAAGCACTTCTGCAAATGAGAGAAGGCAAATTCCTTCACAAATGCTTGATGGTTGCTGTTTCTGCCAAGATAAGCGATGCCAGTTAATTGTGTCTGGGGGAGGATCATTATTTAGACTTTTTTTTTTATTTTTTATATCAGCTGATTATATATTTATTCAGTTTTTTCTTCACTGATATCCACATTTATTTGATATTCTGAAGATCATCAGGAATGAAAATTATTTTCATCATTATTTAATTTACAAAAAGCAAAAACGTTTAAGTTAAATGATTCAAATCATTTTCCCACATCTTTCAACTTGATAAATAAGTATAAAAAAAAATACAGTTTACTGTGTAATGATCTATTTTTTGTAGAAACTTTTATTCTTTTATTCAAAGACAAACTGCTGTATTTGTTTAGTAGTGACCTTTTTACCACTATTATCCAATTAATGCAATAAGTAATTAGCCAATTAGGCAATAAAGCACAGAACGCTCCGATTGTATCATGTAATCCACAGAAATCACATCTGTTTTTTAAATTAACTAAGGGACAGGAGATTAGAGGTCACCTGCACATAAAGCACAGAAAGGCTGATTTACTGTTATGTTTTTGGAGGTAAATATTGAGAAGTTAGAACAGATCCCAAAACAAACAGCCTCTCCAGTCCATGTGCTGCTGGGAGGTTTATGGTAACAGTTGTTTAACCTCTAACCACATGAGCAACACTGGACTTGACATTTCATGCTAGCTTTACATGAATAGGCTTATTGTTCTGCCTGGTTTCCCAGCTGTGGCTCCATCTCCAACACATCTGTCCACTGGTGACCTTACAGGTTCAAATCCTTCCATGGACCAGCAGCAGCAGCAGCAGCAGCAGCCATGCCTGGTGGAAGGATCCCACCCTCCCTCTCCATCTCTCTCGGGGTCTCTGAATCCCAGTAAAGCTGTGTGTTTCTCTGCTAGCCAAAGGGCAGAGAAGCTGGCTGTTTTCTTTCTTTATTTCTATCATTTTTCACGTGCACGTGTGGCAGCTCCACATCCTCCATTCACGCTGCTCCACTTCTCTCCATCCATCTATCTCCTGACAGCTCCGAATGGGGCTGGAAATAACCTTCACATGGCCAGCTTTAACCCAGCTATCTCTCACGCGCGCCGCTCACACCGCTGCTGCCGATATATCCGCGCGCGCAAACACGCGGATGCACGCGCAGCGCGCGCGCGCAGACGCATGCCAGAGCCCAGCTCTCCCCTTCACAGGAATGACAAGACAGCGCCACTCACCACTCCATGGACCAGGAACTCAAACAGTTTGCTCTTGGTGGCTTTCCTGGCTCCCCCCGCCGTCTCCTCCGCAGCCATTTGTTCAGTCCCCTCCGCTTCGTCTCCCCTCTCCTTCTTTTGTCTTTCCCTCTCCCTTCTCCCAGCCTCCTGTTCCCCTCCCCTGCTCCACTTTCCTTCTCTTTGTGCTCTCCTTTTCAGCACTGCCTGTCCCTGACTCTCTCCCTCTCCCTCTGCTCCCTCCCTCTCCTCTATCTTCTGAATGTCTCTCGCTGTCTAGCTCACTTCTGTAGTCGGAGCTGCCTCTCAGGAGCCCGGCGCGTCGCTTGGAGGTGGAGTATGGTGAATGAGGAGGTGGCGATGTAAGGGGGGGGGGGGGGTACAGAAGCCGTGCAGGGGTCTGGAAAGGGGGTTTCAGCCAGCCCACCCATGCCTCCCCCCCCCCCCTTCAGCGCAGTTGTTGCATTCCACCGGTAGATAAGGGCATGTGTTTGCCCCCCACCCCCGGATGATTATGGTCAGAGCTCCAAGTCCAGGCTCCTTCTCAAAAAAGGACATTAGGGCTCCTAAAGGGGCCACGCTGCATATCATTAACGCACAGAACCCGCATTATGGGATGGGGTTCTGACGCGGAGTGATCTGTCAAGCACCTAATGGGCTCCAGGGCCACTTCAAAGGAGGAAAGAAAAGGGGCCCACCTTCATTTCCTGTGTTTTCTATTCAGGGTGCATTGGCAGGTTACAAGCATTTCCTCCTCTTGCCTCATTAGTGTTTACCTTTCACCCAGTCAGATGGCCCATGGGCTGCATTAAGGCTATAAACTGCAACCAGAAAACAAACAAACAAACAGGCTGACCCCCAAAGGAAAGGTGACTCTGAGGGGCCTGACATTTGTGATTACACTCAGCTCTGTTGTGATTTCTTTAAGAACAGAAAAAAGCACACTCAGTGCCCCTCCTTCAAAGACAGAAAGGCTAAAAGAAAAGCTGAATAGCGGGTGAAATGACACATAAGTCATTTCTCTGACTAAAACCACTTCACGCCGAAGATTAGGACCCTCTCAAGCCTGTCCCAGCCCTTCGCCGCCTCAGATCAGAGAGCTGAAATATTCATGAGGTTATTTGAATGACAAAGGGGGGCCATATGATGGTACTGTGTCACTGGTTTCATTTCCTTTCCCATTGGCTCGAGTATGGCAACAGCAAGTCTCATTTGTAATCAATTTCAAATGTAATTTTCTTATTTTAAAGCTTTCATGCGACATATCTTTGATCTGATGCTCATTTGGACCTGAATAATGGTTTTATTGTGGAATCCCAAACTGATGGATGCCATTGACCTTTTTTCATTTCTTCTTAAATTACTTCAGCTTGGGGCAATTAAGATTTCTTTGCCTACTTCATGTTGTCAGACAGGTACTACCAGGTATTTGGACCTCGCCATTCCTAACCTGACTTCTTAAGGGGATAAAGCTGGGTACCAACCATGCCTTCTTTATACGATGCTTTGCTCTTGCTTTAAAAAAAAACACAATTTAAAAGGCATTTTACGATAATCTTCTCTATGTATGCCTTAGAGAAACTTAAATTTACCCATTGCCGGTTTATTATTGTACCCCCATTTCATACTGAAAACAAAGCATTTAGAAAAAAAACTGACACTTGCTATCTTAACCAACCATAAGTGAAAAAGGTACTTCCCCTAAACATGGGTGGTTCTAGATAGGGGCCAACAGGGGCCAGTGCCCCTGTACTGAAAACATAATACAGATAAAAAACATTGTAATGATGATATTTGCTTGAGCTGACATAGTAACTGATTCATTTAGCTTTTTTCTTTACAACTTTGTGTTAATTATGATTTAAAAATGAAGGTGATAGTTTCAGTTATTTTTAGATACAATAATTTTATTTCCTAAATGTTATTCTGAAATTGAATTTGAAAACAAAAAACCACAACTCTAATTTGTAACAGCTTAATTGATCAGTTTTACTTAAAGAGACATTACGTAGGTTTTCACTGGAACGTTTCTTTTTATTAGCCTTTTATTTGACCCTTTATGACTAAAACATCATTTGATGAGCAGACTGACGCCTCAGTCATTCCGCGCCTATACGTCTATAAGACTGTAGCCTATTTTCCCTGAATGTTGTTTCCCTGGCAAACAATCGAAGCATTATATTTAAGATGGATGCTGTGTATTGAGCTGGATGCCTGATGGCAACTCTGGGTAAGGTGGGAAAAAAAAAATGTCGGAGCTCCAAGAATGAGCGAAAAGTGCTGCAGTTCTGTGTTTTGGCCACAGGGGGCAGGGTCATTAGAAAAACCAGTTCAAGTTTAAGTTCACATTTTGATTTGATTAAAACTGTTAATTGCCATTCCAAATAAAAATGTTCCTGAATAATTCATGTACGTTATGCTAATATTCCAAAGAATAGGTTTATTTTATCTTTTAGTATATATTTTTATTTAAAAACTATATTTTTCTGTTTCTTTTTTTCTATGGTAATGGTTTTTGTTCATTTTAGGTCAATAAAATTAACATTTCCAAACAAAAAATTCTAATTTTCAATTTTAACAGCATCGAATTCTATTTATCTTTTCATATTTTAAATGATAAAGTATTGCCATGTATTTTGTTTCACAATTTTCTGTTCCCCCATGAAAACCCGCTCGCCCCAAACTTGGCCTCATGGTAAATATGGTCTAGATCCACCTAAACTTTCTGCTTACTTTTCATTGAGGATTTGTTTTCATTCAGCTACATTGAATTGTGTTTAAAAATCACCTTGTTAAAAGCTGCAGAACCACATTCAAGTCTGTACTCTGACTGGCTTACTACAAAAAAGTTATTTTGCAGCCATTAAAGTGGGACTTGCTGTTGTGCTTTGGATTATTATTGCAAATAGCAACATTTTGTCTTGCAAGGGACATTGTCGAGTTGCCCAGTTCCTAAAGCAGTGACGAAGCCCCAGACCATCACCACCATGCACTATATTAGCTCTAACAGGACACACATGTCAAAAGCCAAAACCACCTACATGCTTTCCTAAAAGTTAAAGTGATTTTTAACAATGGTTGTTTTGTGGAGTCAGCAGTTAAACTGGACATAACACCCCCATCTAGGCCATCTTTGCCTAGTCTCTCCTTGCTATTGAAACAAAAAGTCCAACTTTGTAAATTTAAGGTCTGCTGTAGACTGGCTATTCTTAGATCTTCTGTGACCTCCTGGATGAGTCTTTGGGGCATTATTTGAGTAATCCCCTGAGACAAGTTTATGTTTTTATGAATAATGGTTTTATTGTGGAATCCAGAGTCCCAAACTGATGGATGCCATTGACCTTTTTTCATTTCTTCTTAAATTACTTCAGCTTGGGGCAATTAAGATTTCTTAGCCTACTTCATGTTGTCAGACAGGTACTACCCGGTATTTCAATAGTACTACTATTAAAGGGATCAGGCCTTGGAGTAGGTAGTAAATTTGGTAGACCAAAAAGACAGGTACTCACAGGCACCATCAGCAGAAAACCTCCCATGGGTGTCTATCCTATTTTATACTACAAAGAGAGAGAATTACAAAGGTAGAGGTGTTAGCACCTGAATTATTAAAAAAATACCATTAAATTCTGATCATCGAGATACAAAAGGGAGAAAAAAAAAGCCTGATTGTTTTTAGGTTTAATGAAAAACATTATGACATAAACTCTATTGACAGTACCAGTAAAAAGCAGGTTAGTAGATGTTGTTTAATTAAAAAAGAGGCCCGATTTATTGAAATATTATGACTTTTACTCTATTTTCTTTTAACCATCCAGATATCGGAATCAACCTAATGATTTTCCAATGTTGGTGCTTCTTTGCAGCTTTTATTTGCTTGGTGGCGACACCTGCTATCCACATGAGAGTACTGCAGCCTACATGAAATCATTATAAGAGACACTTGATAACCTTCACTGATTTCATTTTTCTTCTCCAAGCTACTGGCAATACCTTTAAAATCTTTACTACTCAATGTCAGACTAGTTGCTCACTGCAAAGAGCATGAGAGCAGCTTTTCATGCAGTGATACAACCACATAAGGTGTGTGTTATAGATTTGTACAAGGTCAAAAGGCTCTACCTGCAAAGATTGGGCAAGTGTCCTCTTTTACTACAGCAGTGACACATGGGCGTTGACGGATAACAAAGAGATCAAGCACAACTGCTATGCAGTCGACGCTGAGCATAGAGATACCCCCCTACTGGACCCCCGCCGCCCCCCTTACTAAAGCCAGTTAGTCTCATCAAATGGTAATGTCCCAGTGTGCAGCAGAGAGGGAAGCAGAGGGGGGCTTGCAAGGGGTAAAGGAGATGCTGGTTGATATTAATGAACAACAGGGGGAGCAACACAAGCAGGCAGGGAATTCCAGACTGGGAGAAAGAGTCTAGAGGAAGTGAGGTTCAAGAAAATGCTACAAATTACTTGATTCATTTAAAAAAATGTCGTTACCATACAAACAGTTTATTTTTACTGTTATTATACCTTAAAAATCCTAAGTCTAAAAATGATTTTAAAACAGCTTTCCAAAAGACAATTTGAATTATTTCCTTCCTTTTCCTGCCACTAGATGGCGCCAAAGAGTTCAACACAGGCTTTACAATCTCTGAAAAACTACCCTAAACTACAACTTCCTTCCAATGTCATAGCATCAATGCATGTTGATCTAATTTGAAGAATTCTTCATTTTTTCATTTACCATGTGACAAAGAGTCAAACATGTCAAAACTAACAGTTATATCCTCTGTTTGGACATAAAAAAGTCATACATTTTAAAGTTGACAAAAGCAGTGAACTGATGTAAAAAAATATATATATATTTTTTGAATGAATAAAGAAACAATAATAAATAATAATAGGGAAATTTCATTGAAATTAAAAGCATACTTTTGATTTGGGTGGAAAATGAATTTTAAATCATAGATCTCCTGAGTTGAATGTGGTCTAAAGCAGGATTCAATCTAAATATTTTTAATAACATAAATAAAGGGCTACATAACAAAGGTTTCAGGACATATTAACAGGGAAATTTGCATTAATTTTTAAGTAAAAGTATGAATTCAAATTTGTGAAATAAGCCGAAATAGTATGCATTTTAAAATTATTTTCATTTTTTTATGTTTTGTCTTTTATGTGAAAGTTAAAGTTAAATAACTTTAATATTAAAGACAAAATATTTTCTTCCTTTAACTATTTACATGGTTTAAAATTTGCCATGCAACTCTTAACTGCAGGCAAATTCCCCTGGCAGCTGGCAGGACTTTTAGTTTGCCACTGGCTTACTTGTATCAAG